TGTCTGACCTACAGCACATCTCACTACTGCCGTACTCCTCTCATACATATCCTGGACTACTCTGATGTACTTCTCTGCCACTCCTGACATCCTCATACAGTACACCTCTCCTCCATTCCTCAGGCGTCTTCTCACTCTCTAAAATCCTGTTGAACAAACTAGATAGAAACTCCACTGCTGTCTCTCCTAGACACTTCCACACCTCTACAGGTATGTCATCTGGACCAACAGCCTTTCCACTCTTCATTCTCCTCAGAGCCTTCCTCACCTCATCCTTTCTAATCTTTGCTACTTCCTGCTCTACAATATTCACCTCTTCCCCCCTTCTTTCCCTCTCATTTTCCTCATTCATCAGTTCCTCAAAATACTCCTTCCATCTTCTCTGCACACTCTCCTCACTTGTTAGCAGCTTTCGATCTCTGTCTTTAATCACCCTTATTTGTTAATATATTTTTTGTGTTATATATCTTGGTTTTTCTTTATATACGTATGTTACATATATTTTATAATATTCTATTAGTGTATGTGTATATATTACTACACTGCACATATATATATATTACACTCTACATTTTCACATACACTGTGTACAGTATATTTTTCTTTTTTATTTTGAAATATTTAATTTTTATTGTTTTACTTGTACATTTTGTTTTATATTTTGTGCTGAAAATGTACCCTATTTAACTGTATATGATACCTTTAATTTACTGTAGTTCTCTGATCATGCAGAAAAAGTGAGGGCAACTGAAAAGAGAGATGATGCGCATTCCATTCTAACTAGAGTCTTAGTATGTTTTGTATATTCTCCTTACCGCGGAGGATTGGGCGTGCCGGGCCTGCTGCCATGCCAGGAGAGGGGCCTAGGGCGTCTGGAGATGACCGGACTGCTCCTGGGAAGGTGGAACCCTTCAATCTCTGCGTCCTCCTTGCTCCCGTCATTGATCTCTGGAAGGCTCAAGTTCCCCTGTCTGCTTTCCTCACTATCATCGCCCTCACCAGCATCACTATGACTGTTAGTGGCTGTGTCACTGTGGTGCTGTGCAGAGCTGCAGTGTGGATTCAACTGGGAGTGATGGGAATGTGTTGAGGCCTTGTGATACGTCATCTCTGTGAAAGCTGGCTGTGAGCACTGATGGGAAAATGTAGCTTTTGTTTCTTCTCCACCAGTCTCAGGTGGTGACAGAAGGAGAAGAGGAACTGATCCTGAACTGATCCACAGATGGTTTTGGTGAGAGGGCTCTTGTGGAGACAAAGGCAGCAGAGACAGAGAAGATGAGGTACATTTTAGGAATAGATTTTCTGAATTTACATCACCTGTCATATCTTAGGGGTGAAAGGGAGAGCCTGGAATTTGGAAACATAAACAGTCAGAAACACAACTGGGAGCCAAAAAAAGAGTGAAGGCTGAAAAGTGTCCATGTAGAAAAATGCTTAATAACACTTCCTATGTGTTACAATTGTCCCTAAAGTTGCCTCCATGTTCTGTCACTTTTAGAGTGTGGTGGTTCTCACCTGTAGCTGCCACTGGTGTGTTTGCAGGTGCTGGTGACTCTGCAGAGTCTGCACACCAGCTGACATATCTGGATCGGTAGAGGGAGGAGGGCATGCCCCTGCAGCTTCCCATCTGGATAGAGAAGAGACAGACTGTCCCGGTGAAGCAGCTTTGGTGCAAATGTTGTGGTGCAACGGTGCTTCCTGAGCACGGAGTGGGCAGCTGTGGCAGTAAGTCAGAATGTTGCCACCTCAAAGAACAGAAAAGAATCCAGACGTACAGTATCTCTTCAGGCAGTTAATCAGTACTAAGCCGTAGGCTATACACTGAGATTTGTGAATTTCGTTTGTTGTTGTTTTGGTTGTTGTGCAGGAACTTTTGTCAGTTCTACTGTAATGTTTTCTGAAACAACTGTTAGACCCTAGAAGAGTCTCACATCTGAAGATTACTGAGGGCACTAAATATGATCAGTCAGTATTTATCGACACAAGTCTTAAAAGAAAAGGTTGGAGTAGAATTTATTGTAGGGATGAAAGCTTGCACAAATTTGACAATTATACCTTGTCAAAACCTGGCACTCCCGGTGTGGAGCAACACACAGTTGCACTCGTTTGTCAAGAAATCTGGCATCATACACAAGATCCACACTTGTGTAAGTCAGAATCTGAATGTGAACAGAGTTTAAAAAGTGTTCTTAGCTAAATCTGCTTAAGTGTCTTTATGTTTTTTCATTTTTTAGTGCCATTAATGACTGAAGGAACTGAACATCTGTGAACACAAACAAAAGTCAAAGTAGGAAGATATTGTCATGATCCCGCATGTAGACTACACTGTATGTAATAATAATAATAATAATAACTGCAGAAGTGAACTCAAGTCTAAACTAATGTGTCTTTTAAAAAGAAGAGAGGGAGTTCGTCCCAGACTCAAGGGGCCCTGCCTGTAAACTTCTCCTTTGCTCTAACCTCAGCCCAGGTCACATTTCACTCTCTCAACAGTACACACAAAACTCAGATGCTGAAATTGTGGTTACCTGCAGTGTCATGACCTAATGGTTGGACTGGTTTTATAAACAGGCAGAAAATCAGAACTGAATTATAAGACAAGGTTCAGAATGAAACATTTACAACCCATTTGCCACTGACCGTCTTCTCCTGTTGCAGTCATTTCCTTTACACCTCTTATTTTATCCTCATTTCTAACTTGTCTTTTACCAAAGAAAAGTGAATTTAATCATGTTACTATTCATGAAAATTCAGCCCCATTCTCTTAATAATGGCATATAAGCAAAAATATCCCTTAAAATGTTATTTCAAAAAGATGTCAAATCAATGCAATGAAAAAAGTGTTATAACTATTTATTTTTATTATTAATACAAAACTCTGAAAAACACACATAATAACACCAAACAAAATGCGGCAGAATTTGTCCCTCAAAAGCAGAAAACATAGACACATGTTGGACTGTTAAAGACTTGGGGACTGAGAACAGTTTGTTCTTTCTTGAACCCAAAATCTGCAGAGTTTTATTCAAGTGAGTAAAATCTGATTCAGCATGAGAACATAAACCTCTCACTTGATGAGGGTGATTCACTTAAAATGAGCAGCAGTGCTTCCTGTGAATGCAGAAGTAAGCGCTGATTGTAACTGATAATGTCTTGAAGTACCAAGATATTTCCTACTTTGATAAAAGCTGCGCACCCTGGACCAAACAACAAACAAATAAATAAACCAAGCTTCTCACCATCTTGTAAACTCCTGAAGTGAAGCAGTGAGGAAACCTGTCAGAGGCCAGAGGGACTGACACAAACCTCCATCCACCAAAACCTGACAGAGAGTGCGAGGTGCCTGGTTATCAGCACTTCCTGTATTTAACGGTGCAGTGGCTGTATTTAACTTCTGTGGCTCCTGACAACAGAGAGGCTTGTACTGCTCAGCTGGGCTGCCTGATCAAAATCATGCCCTGAGGAAAGTTAGAAATGTAATGTCACGTTGCAATTTTTATGCCTTATTTCCTCTTTGATCTGTAACTATTTTTAATGACAGGAAGTTTCCCCATACTCCATCGATGTGCTTTTATTTTTGGACTTTTTTGTAATCTAAAAATGTATTCTTGTGGAGAAAAACATGATTTTGCTAAATAGAATAAGGGTTAAGAAAAAGGTAATACACTAAAATGTTTTAATGTAAATGCACTCAAACAATATGAGCTAAAGGAGTGCATTTTCCTTACACCCACATCATCACAGAGAAAATCGCAGCACATTTTTAAAGCTTATAATGATGCATCTTCCTCATTCTAAGCAGTAACCATAACTACAGCGGTGTAAGGTTTCACTCAAAAAAAACTCCCTCATTTCACCAGGCTGATGGCTGCCACGTCAGCTGGTGGAGCAGAAAGAGGAAGTTTTACAGAGTCACAATATCTGCGGGTTTAATTTAAATCCATGTCTGAGCTCACAGTGAGTCCTGTCTGTGCACTAAGCACTGCTCAACACATGTAGTTAGCTAATGCCTCGAATGTTTGTAGCATGGACAAATTGTGACACAGCAGGCCCCTGGGCACGGGGATGTGAGCCCCACAAAGTGGCCATAAACCTTATTTTGAAGCTCTTGGTGGTCATTGTGTGTCACTTTGAGGCTAGGGTTAGAATTAGCATATAGACTGACATTACAATTAATGCATAAGATGTGTATTATGTAAGTAAAGAACTTCATTAATACACCAACAAATGTTTGTTGGTGCACATCATGTACCAGTGATCAGCACTGTAAACCTGCTGATGCCAGCTTTTTATTATGTAATCAGCTGCCTCAGCACCCCAAACACACACACACACACGCACACACACACACACACACACACACACACACACACACACACACACACACACAGACTCAGGCTACCTCAACAAGTATTAAATAAGGTCTTTTACCTGCAGTACAGAGCAGCTGCACTGTCAGTGTCAGTCAGTATTACATGTCACTTACTGTTTGTTTGGAATTATCCATTTTCACACCATTAACTAATTTAGCTACTGGCAATGGAAGAATATTAGGTCCACTACACTCAAAATTCAGAACTATGCAGGGCCCTTGGTGTCTTTATCTGTCAGCATTATAGAAGTCCTGAAGTCCTACACCTCAAACTCAAAATCTGATTTTGATCCCTTAGGAGATATTCCATCAGGAAAGAAAAGTTTCTTTCCTTCTTGAAGGACATCTTTTAATCCAACATCAACTGCTATTTCAATTTTTCTGGTGCCACCTCCCTATTTTGCCCAACCTGTTTGGCTATATTACAGTCACTGTGAATCCATCCTATCTCTACATTTCATGTTATTTTTAGCTCCTTTGTCTGTGTTGTTGTTGAGTCTCCTTGAGATCTGTTTTCCTCAGTGCTCGCCTTTCTGAGTTTCATTTTCTCACTGAGTTTTTGTAAGAATCCTCCTTTTTGTTCTGAGAAAGGCTTTTTACTTCTGCAGAAATTGAAGAGGGCAATTCAGTCTCCATAGGAGGGGATGTAGTTTGCCAGAGTTACATCATCCATCAGCATGATAACATCACTGTCAATCTGCACAGAAGAAGAAAGAAAAGTCACATTGCATAAATAATGTTAAGGTTAAGCCCCTTAAGCCAGTAATAGTGTCAGTAGGAAATACATATCTAAATTTGCCAGAAAGCTTTGTATGCAGGGGTCAGTCCAGTAATGGAACCAAAAATATGCTGTTTATTTAAATGATTTGGCATAGCTTTTTAATAACTGGATCACCCTGTCATATAAAAAATAAAATAAAAAATTTAAAACCCAGGGAGTGTTCACCTGTCTCACCATGAGACTTCACACTCACTCACAGGCCAATGTTGCCTGCAATCAAAACTGATATTATTTATTTTACTGCTTTCTAGATCCTTTAAAAGTAGGAAATGCCTCTGTATTAATCCAACTGAAACTTGTGGCTCCTAGACCAGACCTGCCAGACCTGAGGGAACAAGGGTGAATGGAGCTAAATGGCTAAATCATTTTAAAAATCCAACTTTAACATAAACACTGTTCTGTTGATGGTTCACACAACAAATTGACAGGCTAATAGATTCTAGGGAGTGAAAGGCCTGTGCACATATTTAGACACAGATGAAATCATGTAATGTCTCCACTTATGTCACACTCTTTTTATTGCTTAATTTAAATGTTAATTGTGTTTGTCCTTTTACTTAATCCCACAATTTTTCTGCTGCAATGTCCTAATTTACCCATGGAGGTGAATATATTTTGATGGTTAGCTCTTACAGAAGTGTCCTAGTCTTATAGTTTACACACTGCTTGGACAGAGCAGGTTATCTGTGTCACCCTGGGTTGCTTCTCAGGGCAGTAGCCTACAGCACGGTGTTTGGGATTCTAAAAAATACTTTGTTCTGGAGTCTGAGATGATACAGAAATAGCTACGTGATGCTAGCTAAGCTGTGTCTGCATTTACCATTCTTCATATCATACACATGTTGTTTTTTTTACAAACGCCAGACACCTAAGTATCACGTGTGTCTTTTTTACTCACTTTTTCCTCTTCCATTAATGAAATAGCTTCCTCTATTTGATTGATTGATTGATTGATTTATTTATTCTTTCATGCAGAACAGAACAGAACAAATGACAACAACAACACACACATAATTACACATATCCAACCAATGCTAATCCAAAATCAGTTTGCTTACACCTATTACATGTTTGAATGGAGTAGGAAGAAGTCAGACTTATCCAGTCCTACCCCATAACATCATATTATACAAAAAATTTCATGCATCATTGGCTGCAAGCAGTATCTCTACATAAATAAACAGAGTATTTCCTTAATGCCTTCTCGAATAATCTTATTCTTGCATATATCTTGTATAACACATACATTTATATCCCCTTAAGTTATATCCCCCTTCCCTTTCACCAAATAACTTTTGGATTCCACCAGGTAATAAGTCGTTCCTGGCTTTATACATAAACACAGCAGTCTTATATTCCACTAAATCAAAGAATTTTAACAATTTAGACTGTATGAAAACTACATTTGTGTGATCCCTATACCCCATCTTGTGCACAACTCTTATCGCTCTCTTCTGTAATATGTACAATGGTTGAAGTGAACTCCTGTAAGTGTTTCCCCAGTTTTCAACGCCATACTCCAAATATGGCAAAATCAATGAAGAATACAAAATGCGCAATGCTTTATTTTTACTCTAAAAATTCTAGAATGTGTTTCCACACCCAGACATAAGTTACACAGACACCTCAAACAGTGCAGTATTAGGTCAAGTAGCTGGACTTGGTCAGTGACTCAAACATTTCTGTGGGATTATCTGTAAGGAAGAAAGGAGCATCTGCTGTGAACAGACACGAGGAAACAGAATGAAAGTCCAAATCACTGAGAAAAAAAAGTCAGAATTTAAATAAAAAATACCCCAGTGCAGCTAACATTGGTTCTGTCCAGCAGATGTTGCTGTTCACCAACTGTCATCTTCTGGTTTGTTTCTCTTCTGTTTAACAGCTGCACAGCTCAGTACGCAGGCGCAGTAAGTAAGCCTCCTTAAGAGACTGCAGAGCAGACCGGAAACATCTTTTAATTAAGCAGCTTTGATTGTATGAAAAGAAACTACTTAGTTTCTGAGAATAATCACAGAGCGGGGGTGTTTCTACCCTTGTACAACCTCCATTTGCACATTGCTATCCACACATTTACACAGTTTCGAGTTGTGTTAGCAGTTATCATGTCTCATCTGTGTATCACTACTGTACCTTGGCTTATTATTTTATATTAGTGTTTGTAATATTATCTATCAGTGTTGTTGTTGAGTCACTAAACCTCAAGCACAAATTGAATCTCGAGCCCCTGTTACCTCAGCTTGAACCATCAAGGTGTACATTAAACACAATTGACACAGCTCTCACCATTTTAAAGTCCATTCCATTCTCAGCAATTTCATACATAAAAATCTTGTATGACCAGGGTACACTTTGCTGGAAGCGTGAAAATCAGTACTCAAGTAGTACAGCACTGCTATCTATCTATCTATCTTTACACTTACTTTGAGTAATTCTACACTGTGGTATTACTACTTTTACTATTCTTACTGGGTACTTCTACCACAGGAAATGATTTTATAATATGGTAGCCTATACAGTATAGGCTATACTGTAGCTATTTTATTTTGAAAGTTGATGACCGGATGTCGCGCCGCTCTTTCGTTTTCGCCATTTGACGCACCGCGATGACTGAATCAGCCGCGGCGGCTACAACAGAGGGGGGGTGAACGCGCGGCGCGGGGGAGAAGTCGGTGTTTCGTTGACTGAACCTTGGCTAACTCCGTGCTCTGTCTCTCGGATATAACCGACACCCACCTAGCGGAGAGGGGGAAAAGTATGGCGACGTTGGCACCGGAGTCGACTCGCCCTCCTCTGTCGCAGCTCGGTTCTTCTCCGTCGGTCCAGACGCACATGGGCAGCGCTAACCTGCCGCCCAACCGAGGCTTGGAGCGGGCACTGGAGGAGGCGGCGGCCAGCGGCGGCCTCAAACTCCGCTCCCGAAAACCGAAGGAGAGCCGCCAACCACGACCTGACGGACACGGTGGAGGCAGGTAGGGCTCCCAGTGGCATCTCTCCGGTGCTGGGCGGCGGTGCAGTTTATTTATAGCACTGGCTTTTAAAATCTAAAGAGTGCGTTTATGAGCTAGATGGGGAACTGGACACCCAGCCCCCTCTGCTGTGTGTAGGTGTAGGGTTGTTGCCTAGTGGGTCGTTTGTGTTGCAGTTGGTGTGAATTTGACCAACCCAAATTTTGGCTCCGCTGCGCTATACGCTGAATGTTGTTGGTGTCCAGGTGAGCGGCACTGACACCAAACAAACAGTCATGTCAGCTTGTTTACACATGCATGTGAAATGTGTGCACCCTGCATCATGTCTGCGATTCATATGTGCCGAGCTGCAGTGACAGTGGGGACTGAAGTGCGGATCGTGGGTCTGTTGTCCTGTGGGCCTGCACTGGAATTCCCCAGCACTTCCATTGAATCCATGTAGAGCTGTAAACAGGCAGGAGAGCAGGGTGAGCCACACTGACTCAGTGCCTGCTGCTTCATTTACACCAGTGTACCTAGCATGATCTTTTTAAAGGCTCAGGTGGGTGCTTGCAGTCAACACTGTTTGTGGCACAGTGAGGTGTAACATATGAAGTGTAGGCACTTCTCAAAGTACAGCTTGTTGATCATATCAGTGGTTTCTCAGTGGTAAAGAGGCTGGTGTTGGTGTGTGCCTCCTTGTACCCTGTCACGTTCACAACAAGGTCAGAGCAGGTGCATCAACAGTCTGCATAAGTCTCTGAAACGCACTAGAATATTCTGCTCCTTTTCCGTGGAGTGAAGATACATTTGTGACTTGATCTTACTTACAGTATGTGAGGGAAGGTCCTGAGTTTGAATCTGTTGCATGTTGTCCCCGTGTTTGTGTGGCTCTCCTCCAGATTCCTGTCGAGTTTCAGCTGAAGGCCTCGTTCACACCTGGAGCTCACTCCATTCTGTTGGGCCCCAGCAGACGCTAGGCACTGGCTGTGGCTGCGCTGCTACATGTCTCATTTATTAAGTCCAGATTAGGCCTTTTAGGACTGATGCTGATTGCTGATATAAGATGGATCTTTAAGTGTTTCTTTGTCTTACACATTTTTTCACAGAGCTCCCCCATAACACCTGATACGGACCCCAGTGGGGTGTTGTTATCAGTGTCCTCTTGAATGGACTCTGTAATAAAGGGGAATGTGTTTTGCTATCATTTAATGTCAGGATGTTATGTTGTCCTGCTGGTGGCTGGGACTCTGCAGACACAGATGTGTCTACAATTAAGTGAAAAACTTATGTAAAAGGAGTGAAAACTGGTTGTGAGGACGAGCTAGAATGTTTTTGACAAATTCACGACTGCAGTTATGACTCCAAATGATCACATTTTGCATCTGAACCAGCTCAGCATCAGCTCCGACTGAACTGTGGTGCAGCTGTGCACGTGGCCAATGTTAGTTTGATGGCTTGTATATGCACATGCAGTGATACATGCAACAGTGATGGTAATTCAGACCTGTAGACTCACCTGCTTAGGGGTCAGAGTTTAAACTGCACTGGACTAATCTGCTAAAGAAAGGTTCTAGGAGCACGTTGGAGTGAATGTGTTGTTAATGAAGGGCCATTGTCATCTTGGTTTGTCAGGTTGTGGACATGTTGGTCTCGTAAAATGTGTGTTGGTTGTTTCCTGGTGGAGATGGAGTCATGTGCGATCAACCCCCCGAAATGAAATTAGAGAGTGAGTCATGGATGCATGAGTATGTGTTAGGCACACTCATTTGTACACACACAAATCTGCAGAGTGGTGTCGCACACACTGTGGTTCAGCCTAGTTTCATGTCAGCAGCCACACAAGCCTCCGACTAGAGTGAAGCAAAAGCTGGAGCTGGTTCGCTCAGTGTCCTCCACTGACAGCTGAGCGAACTTGGGAAGGTCGTGTTGCTGGAAGCCACATGTGTTCACAGATGTACACAACAACCACACACAGAGACTATGTGCTTTTTGTCATGATATTAGCTGCATGGTTTTGGTGAAGTAATACACATTTTAAACCAGTTTACTGATCAAATAATACGGGAAGGTATGTTTTGGTGATAGTACAGTGACTTCAGTACCCAGCACAGCAAAGTACGTCACCACACTGGCACAAGAGTCCTGCTACTCATTGATCAGCAAAAATTAGCTTTCAACTGCTTTGATCTATCTTTTTAAAATCATTTTCAGGTAAACCTGCTGAATGTGCTGCTCAGAGGTGACAATCTGCTGCATTTTTTAGATGAGACTGGAGGGCTCCTGCTGGAGTTCTGCATCAATTATATCAGACCTTTTTCACTATTTTTAGATAATCATAGACAAAACTATGAACAACTTCACCTAGAAAATAATCAGCAGATTAAGTGATAATAAAAATAGTGGTTGGCTGTAGATGTCATCCAATACTGTCTAAGCAAACCAGTCCTGATGATTGTTTAAGGGCAGCATGTTGGAGCAGTGGTTAGCACTGCTGCCTCACAGCAAGAAGGTTCTGTGTTTGAGCCCCGGCCGACCCGGGGCCTTTCTGTGCAGGGTCTGCATGTTCTCCCTGTGCCTGTATGGGTTCTCTCTGGGTACTCCGGCTTCCTCCCACAGCTCAGGTTGACTGGAGACTCTACATTGCCCGTAGGAGTGAGTGTGTGTGGTTGTTTGTCTACATGTCAGCCCTGTTATAGCAACCTGTCTGGGGTGGACCCCGCCTCTTCTCCAGTGTCAGCTGACCACCACTGCCGGGGGGCAGCTGACACTGGTGGGCGTTTTAGAGACTGATGTTATCGTCTCAGCAACACGAATGTGAAGGGAGGAAGGTGATTTCCAAACCAACCAGTCTGCTCTCATGGCCTCATATGGTGGTATCGCCTGCAGCTGCCCAGCCGTGTGTGTGTGGTCTTGTTTATCTCTACTTCTGGGGACAGAACTCTGGGAATACACTACTTTGTTGGTGCTAGAAGTCACCTGTGGGGACTGGAGGCTGGGTCCTATGACAGATTTGTTGTATTTAACAAAAATGACGTAAGGTTATAGCAAGTGTCGGCTTTGGTTAAGGTTAGGGTAAGTATCCTGGAAATGAATGTAAGTCTGCTTACTAAACATGAGGCTGATGTCTGAGGAGTGGGTTCGGTTTGACCAGCTGCTCAACGCTTTGAGGTGTAGGAGCCAGCTACACATGGCAACACTGGTCCCAGCTGTTACTGATCATTAATTAAAGTGTGGGAACAGGGCGGTTAAGGCAGTGATTTCCAGACGAAACCAGCCAGTGAATGTTCCCACACTGATGTCCCGGCACTGTGCATCCAGTCCGACCAAAGCCTGAAGCTTGTGTTCACATCGCTGTCCTGAAAATAGCTGCGGATTAGCTTGAGCTGTGGTTGGGTTTGTGTGCATCATCTTCCTGTTGTACTGCTGGCTTCCCTGATAGACCAGTGGATAGGGCGCTGCAGCCCGGGTTCGAGTCAGGGTTGCGTCAGGATGTCAACATGTGAATCGTCAGTGCGAATCATCAGAGATGGAAGGGTAACACAAGACCTGACCACACTGAGTGTCTGCTGTGGGTGTAATATGAGTGTGTGCATCACGTGTGTGCACGTCTTTGTATGGTGGTGTTGACAAATGTTAGTTTGAAACCATCACTGTGAGGACATGTCTGCTCCTCACGCCTCCTGTGTGTGAGGGCTCACACCTGGTCAATGAATGTCCTCACAGCTATAGTACGACCAATGTGTGTGTCCATTAGCACAGCCTCAGCTCCAGATGACACACATTTCTGCAGTAGACACATACACCGCTCTATAGTGTACACGTGTGTTTTTTATTAACAGGAACAACACGCTGTGTGCGTACCTGGCAGAGAGTGTTGATGTAAGATTACATGCCTGTGCTTCACATTAGAACCATCTGCTGGGTTTTCTCGGCTCAACCTCTGTCTCTGCTCACACTCAGTTCCACAAATCCAGATAAAAATGGCCGTGCAACGAATTTCAGACCAGTGTTGTTTCCATCCTCCCATTCGCTCAGGTCTCTGTCCTCCTCTTGTCTCGTCTGCTCTTTGTCTTACATTTATGTTTGCGTCGTCTTGTCCCTGCAGTGACAGGGTTAGGGTTAGTGATACGTGTCATGCACTTTCTGTAGTTGGCCTTGTTGTGCAGTTCAGAAAAAGATGATCACTTTGTTCATTGAAATAATCGTTCAGTTCAATTCACTTTTATAATCCATCAAGCAAAATGCCCCAAATCCTCATCTTTGTTTTATAAGAGATCGGGTGATTTATTGATTATGTGATCAACAGCAATTTTGATGATTGGTTCATTGTTTCGGTCATGTTTAAAATCAAAAACTCTGAAAAGCATCAAACGTTCTCTGGTTTCTGAAATGAGGGACTTGCACTGCATTTCTCTGTTTTCTTTCAGTGTGTGCTTGTGGCTAAACAAACGTCAGCTCATCAGCTTTTGTTTATTCTTCAGGATCAGTCTAGTGCTGTAGTCCAGCTCAATCAACTGATAATGATATAATGATAATAATAATAATCACTTTTATCGGCCAAGTATTTTACACACACAAGGGAAAGTCAAGTCAAAGTCAGAGTGTTTATTTGTCATATGCACAGTTAGGAAACGTGTTTCCCTGTACAATGAAATTCTTACTTTGCTGTCCACATGAATGCCACAAAAATACAAATGAAATATAAAGTAGATAAACAAGCAACACAAAATCTAAGGCACTTCGGCACCAAATGCAGCAATATAATAAAAATATAATAAGAGATTGTATGCTACATGGGAGCAGCTTGTGCAGCAGTCAACAGTCAATGTGCAATTATGCATATGCAAACTGAGAATGTAAACAGTACAGGTTGACAGTACATAACGTATTTCCTGGTAATAAACTCCTCAGCTGTTTAGGAGTCTGATGGCAGAGGGAAAGAAAGAGTTTTTCAGTCTAGTGGCCCTAGACTCCACACT